CAATCTCAAAAATTATAACTAGATCTAAATAAGACAAATCATTGTTTCTTTCATTTTCACATAATAATTCAACATTTAGGTAACCAAAGTACATCATTTGAAGCTAGATCAAAAATTTAGATTACTACAAATTACCACTTGCCTCCCTTCTTTTTCTTCTTTTTATTCTTATTATCACCACCACTTTTTGGTTTTTGCGTAGGTGCAGGCGCAGGTTGTTCTGGCTGTGATGTAACAACTGTCTCGGATGACGACACGTTACTTACACTAAAATTGAAAGAATAGGATAAAACACTCAACATTAGTATTATTAAAAAAACAATTGTAATTAACAGTGAATAATAATAATAGTAATAAATTAAAACAAACCTCTTTCCGGCAATATTAGCACTTCCTGTACCTCCAAGACCTCCACCAGCAACTGCAACTCCTTGTGATCCTTTCATTAATTGCTGTTTTCCTTTGCGAAGTTTCTTATAAGAAGATCGATCACGTTTTGGTAACCAACGTTCGGGATCTGGTGGCACGGCTGGATCATAGTTTTTTGGTAGCAAGGGTTTACGTTTTTTTTTCTTTTTCGGTGTTGCCTTTGTTTGTTTCTCCCTAATTGTTAACAATTTTATAAATAAATAAATAAATAAGAATAAACCTTTTTAAATAAACATTTTTTAAGTGATAAAGCAATTACATTGTTTTGGTATCTGCTTTTTTGATATAGCTTTTTTTCACACCAGGTACAACTTTTTCAAGAGATTCTACATCAATTTCCATAGATGTACTAATATCTGGTAAAGAACTTTCGTATTTTTCAGCGAGATTAACATCATATTGAGAATATGATGCTACAAGTCCAGCTAATGCTTGAATGTCTAATGGGTCATCTTTTACAAGCTGTTCATAATCCTGAGCTGCTTCACGATACCGAGAGGTCTTAAGTTTAAAAGCGGCTGTTTGTTTAAGAATTGACCTGCTTTCATCAGACTATCATGAATTAAAATATCGGCGTTCTAATTAGATATTTGAATATTTAAATTCTTTATGCTTATTAATAAATTTCGTACCATAACACCACTTTTCCAAAATGTGCTTGCTTGGTCTAAAGCTCGAACAGAATTTTCAGGGTTACCAACTTTCTCATAAAGCC